TCCGGGCTGGGGATTCAAACCCGCCACCTTAGGTGTACGTGGCTGGCGCCTTAGCCGGTTGAGCTATAGACGCAGAGCCTAGATTGCTTTTTTAAAGGAAGACCACATCCTTATCAAGGATATAGTCAACTGCAAACTTAATATTGATGCTCACCATCTTGACTTATGAAATTTATGATCAAATTTTATTTAGAGTTAAATTATATATTCACTATCAGGGATGAAGAAGCTATTTAAATACTGCTATGAAATGATCTAGTATATATTAAGTGAATAAAGCAAGGGGTAAAATAATATATAAATTACTCTACCACTTGTGTAAATATTTGCTAGTACATGTATTACATATCTGTAAGGCTGTGCAAGAAATGACACATTTTCATTTTTATTGGGGAGGGGAATTAGGTGGCTAGAGACAAGGGTGGGAGGAAATGTTTTATTGTATACCCATTTATACTTTTGATTCTTGAACCATGTGAATGTATTCCCTGATAAGTAAAAAGGAGAAAATAGACACATTTTATTCAAACTTTATAAATATTTCTTTTTGTCTTCTACTAAAATTCACATTTAATAGTACTTTTAATACTTTTTTTTTGAGACAGAGTCTCATTTTGTGGCTCTTGGTAGAGTGCTGTGGTATCATAGCTTGCAGCAACCTCTAACTCTTGGGCTCAAGTGATCCTCTTGCCTCCGTCTCCTGACACAGGCCCCCACTGGAACGCCTGGCTATTTTTAGAGACAGGGTCTTGCCTGGCTCAGGCTGGTCTGGAACCTGTGAGCTCAGGCAGTCCACCTGCCTCAGCCTCCCAGAGTGCTGGGATTATAGGGCATGAGCCACCGCACTGGCCTTTTTTTTGAGACAGAGTCTCAGTAGCCCTGGGGTTGAGTGCCACGGTGTCATATGTCACATCAACCTCAAACTCTTGGGCTCAAGTGATTCTCTTGTCTCAGGCTCTGGAGTAACTGGGAGTACAGGTCCCACCACAATACCCAACTGTTTTTTTAGAGATGGGGACCCCCTTACTCTTGCTCAGGCCGATACTGAATTCCTGAGCTCAGGCAGTTTTACCAGCCTTGGCCTCCCAGAGTGTGAACCACTGCACCTGGCCTAATACTCATTTTTTTTTTTTTTTTTTTTTTGGTTTAGTAGGTCCTGGCCTGGTTTGAACCCACCACCCCCAGTGCATGGAACCTGCACTCATGTTTTTTTTTTTTTCTTATTGCTATGTTTGTTTTGAAATAAAAGCTCACTCTGCTTCTCAGGCTAGAGTGCCTTGGTGTCAGCCTGGCTCACAGCAACCCCAAACTCCTGGGTTCAAGTAATCAAAGTTAGATTGCTTCTCGAGTAGCTGGGACTACAGGCACATGCCATGACACCCAGCTAATTTTTCTGTATTTAGTGGTCAGACACAAGGTCTTGCTTTTGCTTAGGCTGGTCTATAACTCCTGTACTAAGCAATCCTCCCTCCTCAGCCTCCCAGAATGCAGGATTACAGGTGTAAGCCAGCATGCCCAGCCCTTTTTTCTCTTTGTCTACTTTCCAACACTAATGATATTTTGTCCTCTTTTAGGGATTTGAGTCATAACCGGTTGTTTAACTGGAACATCAGCTTGGAATCACAAACATTACAGGAAGTGTAAGTTATTTTTATTTATTTAAAGTTATGTTAAATTCCTTGAGATAACTTAACAAATTGTGTTTTCAGAGATTTTCAATCAGAGATGCTGTCAAAAAAATTGAAAGGAAAATTTTTTGATTAAAAGAAATTATTTAACAACCTAAGCTTGTTGGCTTTGTTATTATCACAAACTCTTTAGGCATGGAGTTAGTGATTTCAAGTTGTGAACTGGAAAAATATTATTTTACTTTCCTAGGGGCAAAAGTAAGATTTCTCCCTTTTTTCGTAGTAAATATATTTGTTTTTGCCAAGTTTTTAGCCAGTGAGACTTTGTGTTGTGCAAACTGTTTACCTTGACGTGTTATCTAAGATAGAAGCATCCTGTCTAAAGTAGATTAGTATGAAGTAGAGTATTTTTGGTATCATTTGAGAATGTGGTGGTTGTTATAATTCAATTTTACTTGTAAGTTTTTTCTTTAATACTGAAATGTATTACAGAAATTTGGAAAGAATTTTCTGAAATATTAATATTAGTTCTTGTGTTGAGGTCACAACTGCTGAGGAACATAGGCTTGTTTGCGTCTGCATTTAACACTCTCAGAGCCCTCAGATTTATTTTCCTTTTTAATTCTTTGCTGTTAGGGATAACTTCTTCATGCTCTCATTATTCCTGTATTCTCTTCTTTTGTCCTAAATTTACTGCTTCTAATCTCGGTGGATTGAATAAAGAGTTGGCAAATTTGTTAGTTGAAAGAGTAGGCATCAAGGCTAGACCTGAAAATTCTTCAGTGGGAAGTGTTTAAACTTTATTACATGGACTTTGTAACTTTGGTTCTCTAGAGGCCTTTACCTCTGGTTTCTTTTCTGTAGTCTAGATTCTTGAGATTGTTCAGTGATTGAAGACCAGGTTATTGAAATGTGATTGTATTAGATTTGCTACTAAAAAACATTTGAGATTGTTTAAAGGACTGCTAGGATCTGATGTGATGTGTCATGTCATTTGGAAAATTACTTATAGGTTCCATATATAGGGGTGCAGTTTAATTTATCTGTGGTCTCAAGCAACCCTCCCTAACTTTGTATGTGGGTCATTATGAAAGTTTTGAGATATGTGAAAATCAAGAAATGTAAAATCCCATGGATGGAAACAAATGAAGCCTTCCCAGCAACATTGATAGGCTGAACATGTTGAAACTTGCACAGGTGAATCAGAAAGAACACTATCCACTGTGGTTTTTGGAAGTGAAATAACGGACCATAACATAGTCTATCTCAAAACTTTTGTAGTGATCAACATATGGCTTTAGGAAAAAGCTATATGTGTGTGTACATCTATATATTTAGAAAGAGAGATATGAATGAGCTGTTCCATCTTTTAAAACTAATATTAGCTGTCATGTCCCTAACTAATCAAAGAACCTTGCTTGAAATAAAAATATCTAATGTAGAAAATATTTCTTAGCTATTCTAATATTGATGTAAGGGAATATTAATACTACGGAGAAGCATTTCTTACTAAAAAATCTATAGTTTTTCACTAAATTATATTTTTATTTTTGTCTAACTCATTCTGAGTCATAGGTTTTTTTGGTCAAATTTGCACCTATTCTAAAGAATTTGTATTAGCCAGAAACTAGAATTCAAAATATAATGTTTTGCTCACTAACACATTTAAATCTATTTTTTCCTCTTGCCTAGGAAAATGAATTACAATGAGCTAACAGAAATCCCATATTTTGGAGAAATAACATCTAATATTACTCTACTTTCATTGTAAGTTAATAAGATTTTAGATCTTTTAAATTATGAGTAGTATACATTTTTTTTAAGTACATGCATTGTTGATCCTGACTATTTATGGTTGTTATGGCCTGGGGTAGATCATTGGCAGTAGCTTCAGTATAATCTTTGTTTTTTTATAGAGTTCATAATATAATCCCAGAAATAAATGCAGAGGTGTTCCAGTTTTATCGTGCTCTTGAGAATTTAGACCTTAGCTCAAATATAATATCAGAAATCAAGACATCTTCATTTCCTCGAATGCAGCTTAAATACCTGTAAGTAAAATAGAATTTAGATAAGATGTACTTTAAAGTGCATGTTTACTTCTCGTTGTTACTTATCTTACCAAAAATGTCTATTATTCATTATGATTTTGGTGTACATATGTGAAGCTTATAGTTAGTTTTTTGGGGTTGTTGATTCTATCTCCTTTTCCCTCCCCTATCCCTCTAAAGAAAGATTGTACTTTTGTCAGAAGAGATTGATAGATATCCAGAGGAATTTTTGAGATTTAATTCTGGATTTTTATTTATTTATTTATTTTGAGAAAAGTCTCACTTTGTCGCCCTCAGTAGTCACAGCTCACAGCAATCTCCAATTCTTGGGCTTAAGTGATTCTCTTGCCTCAGCCTCCTGGGTGGGACTACAGGCTCCTACCACAATGCCTTGCTTTTTGTTGCAATTCTCATTGCTGTTTTAGCTGGCCAGGCCAGATTTGAACCTGCCACCCTCAGTATATGGGGCCGGCGCCCTACCTACTGAGCCACAGGTGCCACCCTGGATTTTTATTTTTTTAAACCACAATTTTGTGGCTGGGCATAGTGACTCGTGCCTATCACTTTGGGAGGCTGAGGAAGGAGGATTGCTTGAGCTCAGGAGTTCCAGACCAGGTTGAGCAAGACTGAGACCTCATCTCTACTAAAAATAGAAAAATTAGTTGGGCTTTGTGACAGGTGCTTATGGTCCTAGGTACTGGGGAGACTGAGGCAGGTGATCTCTTGACCCAGCAGTTTGAGGTTAATATGAGCTAGGCTGATGCCATGGAGCTCTGAACCAGGCAACAGAGTTCAACTCTGTTTCACACAAACAAACAAACAAACAAACAGAAAACCCACACAATTTTGTAAATGGTAAATAGTGGTTTATTGAATGCTGGCTTACCGGCTCAGCACCTGTGACTCAAGTGGCTAAGGCCCCAGCCACGTACACCCAAGGTGGCAAGTTTGAATCCAGCTCGGGCCCGCCAAACAACAATGATGGCTGCAACCAAAAAACAGCCGGGCATTGAGGTGGGCACCTGTGGTTCCAGCTACTTGGGAGGCTGAGGCAGGAGACTCGCTTGAGCCCAGGAGTTTGAGGTTGCTGTGAGCTGTGATGCCACAGAACTCTACCCAGGGGGACAGCTTGAGGCTCCTGTCTCACAAAAAAAAAAAAAAATACTGGCTTACATTGTATAATGATGATGATAATTAGCATGTATGCTGGTGTTTTCCAGTTTATAACATGCTAAATGAAGTAGGTATCGTAATTTTGTAGATGAAGAAACAAAGCAGTTAAGTGATTTGTAAAGTTGTATATTGTCATTAAATGTTAGAGCTGAGGGTACAGGCAGATTTTTGGCAGCTTTCCAGTTGTAGATTTTTTCATTTCACTAAATTTTTTTCTTCTCCTATTATCTTGTTTATTTTAGGAATTTGAGTAATAACAGAATAACCACGTTGGAGGCTGGTTGCTTTGATAATTTATCAAGTTCCTTATTAGTGGTAAAGTTAAACCGTAACCGAATTAGCATGATTCCACCTAAGATCTTCAAGCTGCCTCACCTCCAATTCTTGTGAGTAACTAAATAGGTGGATTATAAGAAGATGGGCTTTTTTCTTATAGTATCTTTTTCTTTTTAATTATTGTTAGAGTAATTTAGCTAACCAGTTTTCTGACTGTAAAACTATTTTTGTTAAAGGGAACTTAAAAGAAACAGGATTAAAATTGTGGAAGGTCTTACATTCCAAGGACTTGACTCCTTAAGATCTTTGAAAATGCAGCGGAATGGAATTAGCAAACTTAAAGATGGAGCATTTTTTGGCTTGAATAACATGGAAGAACTGTAAGTAGTAGGACTTAGAGAGGATTATTAGAAAGGAGTCTGTCTGGTACTTTTCAGTGCGAAATGGCTAGGGTAGTTGCTCTGATTATACAAAGGTACATTAGTTCTTGAATAAAATTTCGTATTCAGTAGCATGGTAGGGTGACTAGAGTTAGTGACTTTTTGTTATGTATTTTAAAATAACTGAAGAGTGGAATCAGAATGTTCTTCATACAAGGAAATGATAAATTCTTTAGGTAATGATGGATACCCCAGTCACCTGGGCTTGATTACACATTGGCTGCCTATATCAAAACATCACGGCTCGGTGCCTATAGCTCAACTGGCTAAGGCGCCAGCCACGTACATCTAAGGTGGTGGGTTCGAATCCCCAGCCCGGACCCGCCAAACAACAATGACGGCTGCAACCAAAAAATAGCCGGGCGTTGTGGC